GTTTCTCCAGCGCCACACTGTGTTATTTCAGTCTAGATATCCTGAACCTGGGCACCAGGCAAGCAACATCTTTGGGCCTCTCGATCTTGGCCACAGAGAACAGTGTCTATTCCACTGACTATACTGTCCCCGATTACAACTACATTTCTCTTTTCTACCACGCCCCCCTCCCCCGCCGTCTAGAATGGTTCCCTGTCCCACAGTGCTATGGTCATTTTGTTCATCCTCCCTGCAGCCCCAGTGCTCATCCACACAGGGAACAAGAATCTCAAACCTGTTAGACACGCTCAAGGGCTGAGGCTCCTTCAGCACTATCTTCAGGATCCCTGGAACTGCCTCGCTGATAGTCACACCCTCCTGTCCCTGCCCACTGACTCAATTCGAGGCAGTTAATCTAAGGGGTGTGACTGCCTCCTGAAACACAGCGTCCAGGCAACTCTGCCCCTACCAGTTGTGTGGCAGTTTTTGAAGCTCAGACTCCAGCTCATCAACTCTCAGCTGGAGAAGGGACGGAATCAGTCCCTGGTAACTAAGCTTGGAGGCAGGGACAAAGGCGATATTTCTTTGGTGGCAATTTGGGAACGCGCAGTGGAGGATGTGGGATGCACAGTGAGAGCGATCAGAGGCAGCGCCAGGACGGAATGGTACTACAAGATCGGATAGTAAAAGCTGTCTTATTTTCCTCTCATTCTTTTGATACAGTACAGCGGCTGCTGGAGGAGATCCAGCACCTTCGAAGGCGCAGGTTTTAAAGTTGGTTAGTCGATCAGAGCAGCTGAGAAAGCCACAGCAGCCTGTCCAGGGGAAAACAAGGTGTAGAGCTGGATGAACACAGCAGGCCAAGCAGCATCAGAGGAGCAGGAAGGCTGATGTTCTTTCTGAAGAAGGGTCTAGGCCCGAAACGTCAGCTTTCCTGCTCCTCTGATGCTGCTTGGCCTGCTGTGTTCATCCAGCTCTGCACCTTGTTGTCTCAGATTCTCCAGCACCTGCAGTTCCTACTATCTCTGTCCAGGGGAAAGGTCGCCAAGGTTAGGGAATCTCTCTCTCTCTCTCTCATTGTCAGGCTGATGGATTGGAGCAGGCAGGTGAAAGCAGATTAAACCTTGCAGCAGCTGTCAACTCGCGGGATAGTAACTCAAAGAGAAGCTGCTGCAGTGTCACAAGTACCACAGACTCCGGCCTCAAGCTTTCAAAGCCGCTTTCCGTTGCTTTGTTTCACCCTCACTGCAAATACCACCCAGTGAGCCCTTCCAGTAACCAGCCCCGTGCGAGCTGCTCATCCTGTCTCAGTAACAAAAATACAAAGTTCTGCAGAAACTTCGCAGGTCTGGCAGCTCCTGTGGTGTGAGAAACAGTTAAGGTGTCGAGTCCGATTAAGGCTTTTACCATTTTTACATTAAGAAAGAGCTCCGCATTCCTGACAGGATCAGTGTCACCGCTGTTGCCTCACAGCTCTGGGGGCCCCGGTTCGATTCCAGCCTCGGGCGACATTCTGCCCGTGTCAGCGTGGGTTTTCTCCGGGTGCTCCGGTTTCCTCCCACAGTCCAGCAGTGCACAGGTTAGGTGGATTAGGGAAGTAGAGAGTGGGTCTGGTTGGGATGGTCTTCGGAAGGTAGGTGTGGATTCGATGGGCAGAATGGCCTGGTTCCACACTGTAGGGATTCTGTAAATCTAGCAGATTCTGTTCTGGTTCCTACAGAGAGATACGGAGCTTTACTTTAAATCCGACAGGACACACCGCTCTTGTTGGTGTAGTCTGTGATTTAGAAGTCCAGCATCACAGTCACTCAAGGTTTGGAGGTTAGGGGGCCAGGACAGAAGGTACCAGGCAGTGGGCTAGGTTAGGGGCAGTTGTCCGGTTTGGTGGGTAGACCTGGTTGGGGTAGAGTCAGTTGAAGAGCTCCTCAGGAGTTAGACCAAGTATTTAACAATCCCCCCATCCCTATCCCACCCCTCACGGCATATAGACGGGAAACTGCACCTTCCTGTGGGCTCCGTTCCTAACCCCCGGCCGCATCGACCTTCTCGCTCCGATTCCTCCAGCTCCGGCTCGGGCCGCACGGACAGGCTGAGGGCTGTGGGGGGAGGGACGGAAGGAGCTGCTCAGGAATCTAATCCCCGGAAATGCTGACATCCAAAATCTACCACAATCCGCTTCCCGCGGCTATCATACTGCCCTCCACGGGGGCAGTACCACCGTCCCACCCCCCCCCCCCCCCCCCAACCCCCCCGCCCCACCCCGACCCCCCCTCACCAACCCATCCCGACTCCCCTCACCAACCCACCCCCACCCCTCTCACCATCCACCCTGACCCCCCCTCACCATCCCGTTCAGAACCCCCCTCACCATCCCGTCCCGTGCGGAGCCCCCAGAACCCTCCCCCCGCCCCCCCATTCTCCCCTCATCCTCTCTCCGATTCCCCCCCTCCCTACAACGTCCACCCATCCATCTCTGCCTGGGTGACCCCCAGTATCCCACAGCCCCATCTCGCTATAACCCCCGCCACCCCTTATCGCCCATTGTTCCTCTCTCAACTCCCTCCTCTATTCACCCCCCATTCTCCCCAAATCCTCCATTCATCCTCTCCCCAACACCCTCAATTCCCCCTTCATTTTCCCCCCTTCTCCAGTACCTGGCCAGGGCGCCGGTGCTCAGGTACAAGGCGGACATGCTGCTCTACCACTGCTTCCGGCTTTACTCCGGGGGCGCCGCCATAAACAGATCCGCGGCCTCCCATTGGTCATCGGTTCCCGTGGCAACCAAGTGTCACAAGGAAGATGGAACGCACCTCGGTGACGTCACGGGATGGCCAACCTCTTACAGTGGCACAGCTACCTCGAGGCGGGGCTTCGTCATTTCGGTTCCACGATCAAAATGATCGCCCTTTTGAGCTTTAGGCATCATTCTGCCCGGTCTAACAACGAATGAATAAAGATGTGTAGGTTAGGTGGAAGGGCTATGCTAAATTGTCCATAGTGTCCAGGGATGTGTAGATTACCCATGGGAAACGCAGGGTTACAGGGATAGGGAAGTGGGGTGAGTTGCTCTTTGGAGGGTTGGTATTGACCGAATGACCCTCTTCCACACTGTAGGGGTTCAATGATTCTATGAACATTTTAAAATGAACGAGCAACGGCAGGAATACCGAGATGATCCTGAGTTTAAAACATAGAAAGTGCATTTCTATTTCAACTTAATTCTCAGGCACTCCTTTAACTTGGATTGAAGAGTAATTGCACATTTAATGACAGTAATTTGGCTCAGGTCGCTGGATGGTGGGCCGACAACACAGAGTGATCCCAACACGGTGGGCTTATTTCCCACATCGGCTGAGGTAACCGTGAAGGATTCTCCCCAATTCCTGTGATCGTCTGGGACGTGGTAAACCTCAAGTTAACCCATCACCGGTTATGCCTCTCTGAAATCAGACAGCTCCCTCAGCGCCGACCCTCCGACAGCGCGGCGCTCCCTCAGCGCC